GGGATCATGACAGTAGGGGGGAGGAAGCATTTAAGAACTAGAGGAAAGTTGTATGTTTCATAGGTGCTAACACTGCACCCTGACTGGCTCATCTCCTCCCCACGACCCTTCTGTAAGGGGATGTCCATTTGCCTACAGATAGGTTTTGGGTCTCTACTCTATACTCCCCCTCATTCACAATGATACAAATTTTTGTTCTTTGATGCCTATCGTCAACTCATGATCACACAGGCTGGTGTGATTCTTCCATGTGGGTTTTGTTGCTTCTCAGCTAGATGGCCGCTTGTTTATTTTCAAGCCTTTAAGACCCCAGGCGCTTTATCGTTTGATAGCCGGTACCATCAGCTTTCTTTACCACATTTGCTTATGTACCCGCTTTGTCTTCAGCAATCATGTCGGGAAAGTGAGCATCATGGAATGCCAGTTTAATAGAACAAAGTGTTCTTGCATTGAGGGAGTACTTAAGTGGAGGCCCAATGTCCTCTGCTACCTTAATACTAAACCTATAAATATATGCGCATAGAGCTATTTCCCCATCCTCATATAAATATATTTACGTGTACATGCCTGTATTTAGACCTCTATAAATGCCCTTTGCCTCCTAGTTCTTTCCTCTATTTCCTTTAATTTCTTCTTGACCCACTATCATGCTCAGCCTTCATTTGGGTTTCAGTGATTCCTCTTAGTTACATTGTCCTTGATCAAGCCCTACCAGGCCTCCTATATCCTCCTCACTATTGATTTTGGATCACTTGTTGTTCTCTTGTCCCTGGGTTTGTTAATATCCACTTCCTTTCTCCCAAGTCCACCTCTCCCATGTCCCCCCAGAACTGTCTGTCCTGTTATTTTCTTCTACAGATTGTTTCTGCCCACCTAGCTTATCTAGATAGACCTGCAGAGATAATAATATGCACAAAAACAAGACAGAGCAAAGCTAAGCAACAAAAGAAAACAAAACAACAACAACAACAAAACAATGACCCAAAAAAATGACAAGTCTGTAAATAGTTCAAGGTATAGTTGTTGACCTTTAGGAGTGTATTCCAGTCAAGTCTGATGGGGTGCCATGCCCTGGCCCCAAAGTCTATTTTTGGTATTTCCTTGGGACTTTATTGCTCTGCTCCTCTTGCTGTTCTGTTGTACTCCCTTAGTGTTTTGCCTCAATGTGGTGGGGTCAGGTTGGGTGCAATTCCCACACTGTGTCTCCAGTGCTGTCCCCTGTAGGGATATGAGTCAATGAGAGATGTTGTGTCTCCTTGTGGAGCTGGCCCTATGGTCCTCTCTGTGCATTGGCTGCTCTGAGCAGGGATATGTAAGGCTTGGTGGGCCAGGATGTGCTCCACTCTCTCTTCCTCCCCCTTCATTTGCTCCCGTGTGCTCTGATCAGACATGTCTCTCTCCCTGAGCTGCAGCTTCAATGCTGTCCTCTGAAGTAAATTCTTCTCGGGGGAGGGGTGGCCGTCTACATAGTTGAGATTGGGGCTGGCCCCTCAGACCTCTCTGCTTCATGCCAGTATGTTGCATTCACATCTTGGAGCACCAAGTTGAAGTCTGGTCCCTCTTTCCCTGTGGAAATATAAACAGTACCCCTCCCCTTGGGTGGGTTAGTGCCCTGTTCCCCTACTACCCATTTATTTTTTGTTTTTGTTTTTTTCCTTTTTCCACTTCATGGGAGGTTTTTATGAAGAAGTTTTAAGAAAATGGAAAACTGCTTTGATGAGGTAAAGGCTAGGAAAGTTGAGCTGAGAAATTATTTTCCATCAGGACAGTGCACCTGCTCATTCTTGGTGGTAGCAAGGGCTGCTGTGCATGAATTCATTGGGAAGACACCCTACAACCTGAAACTTTCCTTTCAGACTTTTTTGGTTCCCCAGACTTAAAGAACAGTTCAAAGGCTTGAGTCCCTGAGAGGCTTGGTTTAAATGAAAGAGTGCAGAATTCACCTAGGAAGGGTTAAAAAGATGGAAATACTACCTTCAGAAATCAATAGACATAGATGTAGGGGGGGATAGGGTGAAAAACAATTACTTCACATGTTGATGTTTATTAAAGATTTTGATGATTCTATAACGATAGAATTCTATACTCTCATATTAGCACTTATCAGTGGCTACATTTGATGGCCCAGTTGAAAAATTTTGATTTCCTTAGCACAGTGTGCATGACATTTGTCTGCTTATTTTCTAATCTCATTTCTGCCAATGTCTGTAATGGTCTTCCTATTCCGTTTAATTCCTCTTTCTCCCTCCAGCCTTCCCCAGACCCTAACCCTCAACACTAGGTTAGTTCCCTGTTCTTTGTGCTCCTGTAAACCCCTGCTTACTTCCGGTTTATTGAATATTTACTGTTGGCTGATACTCTTTCATCAAAATTCCTCAAGAAAATAGAGGCTATCTGTAATATTAAATTAAATGCGGGGGGGTAGGGCGTCCAACCCCCACCACTACTACTACCTTCGGGTTCAGTAAGCACAATTGTACGCTATTAGAGTCGAGAGCATGAGAGATAAAAGAGATATTACAATGATTCAATCAGACACATTACATGGTAACATTGCTCACCTCCGCCCCGCTTGGTGGTCCTTGGGGGGGTGGGGGACCCGGCTACGAGAGTAGGAGCAGCCTCGGGGACTGAGAACCAGGAAGCCTCTCCTGGCCTGAGAGCTAGAGAGGGCCCTGGGAATCAGGGAGAGCCTTCAGCCCCAGAGCTGGGGAGAGCCTCCTTTCTTTATTGCTAACCACGCATTATATCACTTTAGGGGGACATGATTACAGAATTACACATCACAGGAAGGGGCAGTACAATAGGCATACACATTGTAGGAAGGTGATAGGTATAAGCGTAACAGGAAAGGATAAGCTAGGGGTGTGCCTATAGCAATGGGAAGGTCTAGGGATATACATGTGACAAGATGGGAGGACCCAAGATTCATGATGGCAGCCTAATCTTGTTCATCCTTGGGCGGGTTTGACCTCTCTGGTGTCTCCTACAAGGAAAGAGACAACTACTATCCTTACCAGAAGGGAGTGGGCCCTACTTGTTTTGGGATAAACAGTGGTGTCTGCTTGGTCTAGACAGCTGATAACTCTCAAGGAGAATGACCCCCAATCCACTCTTGATGACCTCCAAGTGTACGGTCATTCTCAAGCAGCTAAGTCTGGCATATATTTGGGGGAGACAGCTTGAGAGAAATCCTTCTGTTTCCCACAGCTATCCAGGAGAATTTCCTCATATTCCTGCCACAGAATTTATCAACTTTACTGCATGGAGCCTTTTACTAACCTTCCTTCCTGTCATAGTGGATGTGTGCCCTAATCCCTGTTACATGCATCAGTATCTGGCATCGTCGACCCAACAGCCTGCTGAGTTTCAACATTCTTCACCAGTTCCTGTGCTGAAACTTAGTTTTATTTTTTAAGGTATTCTAAAATGTTTCAGTAAGTAATCTCATACTACATCTTTATGTCCTGTAACTTTAAATACCATCTATTATCTTTTCATTTATTCATTCAACAGATACTTATTAATCAGTTTTTTATGTATGACATTTTTTTAAAAAACATCAAGACTTCCTATTTACGGGGCACTCATTCGAATGCTGATTATGCCCACATTTATATTTCTAGACCAGACGTCTCCAGATCCATATACTCAATTATTAAACTACTTGACATTTCCTCATGCTGTCCAAATAAAGCTAAACTGTGATCTTCTTCCTCCAACCCACCCCACAAAACCCAAAGCTATTCCTTCTCTCATTTTCCCCATCTCAGTAAATCCAGACAACACCAGAAAAAAGGAATTACAATACAAACGCAATCTCCAGAGTTA